AGTCAGAAGACATCCTCTTACCTGAGGAAGAACTGAAACCTGTCCAGCTGAAGGAGGCTAATTGGTAGAGACAATGTGTTTCAAATGAAAAGAGGCTAGTTGAGAAGCAGAAGCACTGAACAGTGGCTTTGGGTCTTTGTTCTTTTCCTTTTTCTAATAGGGTTGTATGCTTTAAGTTACGTGTGTAATGTTACTCAGAGTGAAGGCAAAGTAAGTCAAAGGAAGCTTGAGATAAAGAAAATAATATAGTATCTGTAATAGGAACCAGTAGAAAATATGATAATGGTAAAGATGATCCAATAAAGCTTTAGTGAGAACCAAGGAGAAACTACCCTTTGCCATACTGCAGTTATTTTAGTGTGATACGTATTTCCCAGATCAACAATCCGAATCAACAAGAATTTAAAATCTCAAATATTTTGACTTAAAAAATAAGAGGTTTGTCTTGAGAATATCAGTGGCATTGAGGGGCAGCCAGAACAAGCTGTAACTGGGAAAATACAATCCCCCCCTGTCAGGAATGGTTTGAGTTGGGCCAAGAGAAACTTACCAAATCTGCCCGAGGAAGATTAACAGTCTAAGTGAGGGGAGATGTGTGTATACACAGCAGTTGTTATTGTCGTTTATCATCTGTTTTGTCTGCATTGTACCTTGGGAGAATGAATAAATAAAGCTATGTTTTGAGTTGCTAATCTGCTAGTCACAGAGTATGAAAGGGAAGACTGGTAGATGCCAAGCTCTGTTGGGTTAAGAAGCAGGGAGGAGATACGCCTGATCCCTGGGAAGCAATCCCAACCAGGGAATTACTTGAGGGGGCTTCTAACCAGATGCAGATGCCAGAAGCGAGGCCTGCCAGGATGTTTTGGACAGGTGGCACAGTCTGTTTCATCACCTCAGTGGAAACTGGAATATATAGCAGACAAATTTTATTCTTTATTCTTTGCTCTTGACTCAGTGACGTGAACAACTGCAAGTGGAAAAATCTTTTGCTAGCCATAGAGACAAAAACAGAATTACTAGAATTGCTATCCTGAGAGCCATATTTCAGCAGGGACTGTTCATCTTACAGGACTGAGGCGGGAACATTAGTGACTCTGCCCCTTCTCCAGCAACAAAAACGGATTTCTTAGGTATTCTTTTCATGGGGAAATCCCTATCCTAAATAAAGAACTGCTTTTCTTGTGGTATCAAAAATTTCTTGGATTCCGATTTGCTCAATTTTATTTATAAGAATTATTTAGTTTTGAAAAAATGTTGCTAGTCTGTGCATTTTCATTTGTTATGACACACCTCAGCAATAGCAAGTAAGATGTCAGCGTTCATGCTGTTTTCACACACAGATCTTATATATCTTTTTATTCTGTTAGAGGCATCAACTAATGAAAATAAATAAATGACACTGACTGTTCCTCCCGCTCATTGACTGGAACGTTCCGTATGCTTTTATCAGTAGACTGTTAGCCATTAACCTTTTAATAGTTACTTTATGCGCACCATAAAAATTGCAACTTTTTTCTTAAAGAAAGAATTTGTCTTCCTCAGATTTATGTTTGTGCTTTTTTTAGTGCTTCTACTAAAACAGTTGCTTTAAGTTACCAGCATAAAGCTAGCAAGTGCTCGGAGGAATTCTGTAACTAAGCAAATAAGTTTAAACAAATGTAAGGTCTTTACCATAGATTGTGGAAAGTAGCAGAAAACTAGCAGTTTTGGACAAATTTGAGAGTGTGTGTCTGTCATCTTGTCTAGAGATGAATTGCAATCGTTTATGTCTTTCAGTCATCAGAAGGTGTTTCTTGTTCAGTGGGTCAGAATTAGCCATCTCCTCCTATTTCCAGATTACCTTTGGGTGAAAAGTTGGACAAATGGGTGAAAAGAGGCAAGTCAGTAAAAGTTTTGTGGAAGTCTAGAATCCTAATGGTGATTCATTTTGGTGACGGCTTATATACAGTTTATATAGTGGGATGGTAATGAAGTCTACACATATGATGCATACTGGTAAAAGAAAAAATAGTAAAGGCTGAAGTTCATGTTGTCTTCGTGGTCAGTAAAGTACATGACAAGAACAATTTGAGATAGGCTGTTGTCTTTTCTAACAAGGCTTATTGGAGTATTACTAGCTTTTTTTTTTTTTTTTTAAATCATTAGAGGCAATAGGGAAACTTCTGCCTCTTCTTTCCAGCTGCTTTCTGTCAGCTTTTCTTTTTTGCTATTTTCCTTTATTTTTAACACACCTACCTTTTAAAAAGGAGAAAAATTTTGACTGCAGATACAGCCCATAGTCATACATTTATTCAACACACTATTTTCTTTTTTAAAATAAACTTTAATTGTGCAAACTTTTTGCATTATATTTTCTTTATTATAAAAGTGTGAAAAGGTACGTTTTGGAATGTGGAGTTTCTAAGGCTGATCTCCTAGTTTTAGCATTTATTTAAAATATACATTTTTTCCTTTTAAACCGAACCGGTCAATTTTCTGAGTGTAATGACTGAAAAGTAGGCGTCCTTTTGATCTGAAGTCAAGGAATACATTCGTAAACCTGAAATGTTTCACATTTCCTGAATACAGGTGCTCAACTTTAAAAAGTGAAATGCAGAGCTAAAATGGAAACTCATTTAACAGTAGATTTATTTTGTGAATTTTATTACTAAACAAGATTGAGAAAAAGGTGATGGCTTATGCCACAGCATGCATTGTGCAAATGTCTTGTAAATGACAAAACAGTATCAGACCTTCCTCTATCTGTAAAGTTGTTCTAAACCAGAAAGTCTTAAAGTACAGGAAACACCAAGACTTCCTTGGGAATCTTGAGCCATCAGTCCCAAGATCTCTTATATCAATTACTCTGCAAAAGACAAATTTCTAGAATAGAAGTAAATAGAAGAGTGTTAGGATACTTGGATGCCGTCAGATCTCTAAGAAGGCTGAGCTTTACAGAAACATGTTTGTCATATATGCAAGTGATTATTCACCATCTCTTGAATGATGATTTTACATTTGAAAGAACTAGACTTCTGAATCCACTGAAGCTAGTAATAAAATTTTACTCAATGACTTTATACACCTGAAGTACTACTTTAGTTACCTGCTTTACTTTAAATTTGTACAGTTTAGTTACCTAGCACATTAAAAATGACGAAAGACATAAGTGGTTGAGAACATTATGGTGAACTTAACAGTATTGCACAAGAGCTGTCTGAAGCAAAATTGCAATCTGTCATTCAGATTTGTGATTGTAAATATCAGCTAATGTATAAGAATAGGAATGAAGGTTTAAAAAAATTTTAAGGCCTTATAGAGTTAAACAAACATGGTGATCTCAAAGCTCTTCAAGATTTAGGATGATCAAAGCTTCTGTTAGTATCAAAACTTCATTTACCTACTGTGCCTTGTAAGGAGGCAAGGCCCTCCTTACAAGGACCATCTTCTGCTAGTTTTTTGTGTTGTAGGTTCTCCATTAAAAAAATCTGTTAAGTATTTTTCATTTATCCCTGAAGTGTGCTCCTTCCATCCCTCTATATATGGATCTTGACTCCTTAGGTAGCCTTACCGATTTGTCAAAATGTTATTAGATGAGGGAATTTTTGTATTTTTAAAAATCCTAGAAAAGATGCCTCGTCTCCTTGCCCAAGCAGTTGTTCTTGTACAACATTTGAATTTTACCTTTGTCCTGTCTGTCATGTTGTTCTTTTTTCCCAGAGGGTCCCCGTTTCAATGTATATATATTTTTTTAATTGATCTATTCTTCCCTTCCACAGTGGGTCCTGATTGGTTTGTCTACCCTTTTGCCAGCTCGTTCTTATTCTATCACAGGTCTTGCACCTTACAGTTTTCTGACCTTAGTTTCTGTTTTGCTTGGTGCCCCTTCTTCACTTTCTGTCACATATCTGTGACGCGTATCCTTCCATATCTCTCTGTCTCTTTCTTTCTGTTCTTCCTGCCCTCCTTCTGCATTAAGTTTCTGTGTGAGTCATATTATTTCAGTTTTCTAAACTCTTTTTTTTTTTTTCTGCTGTTATTCAATATAAGCAGCTTCCACAGTGTCCTTTAGCAGGGAACTGAACACTTAAGACAAGATAGATGGTTTCATTGTTCCTGATATATTGTAAGTGTAGCAATGCACCTAGAGCATGATTAAGGTAAGCACGCTGAAAGTAGGCAACTTACAGAACAAGCAGCAAGTCTCTACAGAGCATATTGTGAACTCAGACTTACTTGAAAAAAAATCTAAATAGATTTCCAAAAAAATGGTTAAATGACTGTATTTGATGCTAGGGCCATCTTCTAATAAATCTCATAGCCTGCTTTTAAGTCATTCATGTGATTGAATGCCTTCATTAAAAGAAAAACCACACACAAGCAAAATATTTTTTTTCTTAGTGCTCACAGTTCAGCCAAAATGATTTGGTGGTGTCATTCATAAAAGCAACTAAAAATATGATCTCACAATGGGAAGTGCCTAGGTGAGTTTGTAGGAGAGTGCAATCACTTCTGTCTACAGCAAAATAGAAAATTTATGTTAACATAAACGCCAGTCAAATAAGATGCATGTTTATAGGGAAATTCTGAACGTAATGACTATTTCTCTCTCTCTTTGTAGCTGGTTTTCTTTCAACTTAATATCTGAGTGACTGACAATGTCCTGCTGTGTTTTTTACTATATAGAATGAATGTAACAGTGCTGCATTTTCTAAAGCTTCCAGTTTTTAATAGCATATTTCTTTTAGACAGTCAACCTTATTGTATTCCTTTGCCTGAAGTAGCAGCCTATATGTCTGATTTTAAGTGTCTATTCTATTTAAGAGCAGATTGAGTTATTTTAAGAGTGTTAAAATCTGCTTGTTCTTAAATGTACGTATGACTTAATTGTGCTATAAACTGCATAGATGAGCCCCCTAACCTCTCCCATAAGTGAATAGGCGCTCAGAGGATGCACAGGTAGAACATAGCCACGAAGGTCTTTAAGTTTAAGCATTCCTCGTTCTTGTACTTGATTACAGAATCTTTTGGCTGAAAAGGTGGAACAGCTTATGGAGTGGAGCTCAAGGCGCTCAGTCATCCGCATGAATGGAGACAAATTCCGAAGATTTGTGAAGGCTCCACCTCGTAACTACTCTGTTATAGTGATGTTCACTGCGCTCCAGCCACAGCGGCAGTGTTCTGTTTGCAGGTAATTTATACCTTAGTGATGGTTTTTGTCTTCCTCACCACAGTTTTCAAGTGAATGTTTTAAGCAGTGCGCAATACAAATAGGATTGTTCTTCATGTGGGGCAGGTGTTGAGAATTCGACAGCCTCACAACTTGTAATAGTGTCTTCTTCAACTTACTTTTAATCTGTATGATGAATTTTAGATGTCTGGTTAGTTTCAGTTTGTATTTTTTATTACAGTTGTGTAAAACGTACACCACTGATGAAGACCTCTTTAAGAAATATACTTTATTCTATTATCAGTCATCCTTGCTCTTTCCAAAGATGCTTTGTAATGAAAGTGATTAATTATTCAATTACACAGTAATATGACAGTTTTCTAATTCCTCCATTTAAATGATGTCCAAGGCTCTGATACAGATGTGAGTTACCCCATGATTTCACAGCTCTGAGCAGTTCTTAACATGCAAGCACCTTTTTCTGTGAGGGCATGCTCATTATGGAATACTGTCTGGCGCTATACTTTGATGTATACTGGCAGCTTCTTTTAGAATACATATTAGAGTGGAGCTGGTATTCTTTTAAGTCCAAGATCTTTCTCTGTAAGTTCCTAGTTCAATAAGCTAACTATAGACGTGGGAATAGGGCCGAGGGACTGAAAGGTATGTACCTTGTACATGTACTTAATTACCATGCTAAATCAGAAAATGAGCTAATAAAACCTTCTCCAGCCAAAATATGCATTAGAAATTTTTGCATTTATTAATAGGTGGGATTATGGTGTAGGGGGTTCTAATCAGTATTTAACTAGGCAACTAATTGCTCTATAGGGCTATGAAGTAGGTAGGCTCTATATGAAGCAATATTGTTTCTTGGTTTTAAACAGATGTGCTTTAAACAACAGGCAAAGTTGATAAATGTAACAGAAGGCCTGTTGGATTTCTTAGGTGATGGAATGTGACATTTACAGTAGAAACTTTCACATGTTTGCATAAGATGTAAATCTGTAGTTGTATGTTTTTATAGATTTTTTCATAGACTAATTTTTTTATTATGGGATTGAGTTGGTTAATGTTGAGCAAGAGGATGTAATTTGCGTTCTCTCAGTTCACCTTCCACATCTGAACTGTGAAGTGAAAAGAACAGGTACAGAAGCTGTCCATTCTTCCAAAGTCGAAGGAATTTTTCCTTCACCACCTCCAGTGCTTAGTTGCTGCTGTTTCTTATTTGTATTGCCAGAGTTCAACTTCAGGAGTTGAAATGGGAGTTGAAATTACCATATTGTTTTAAATCATTTCTTACTTTCCTACCCAGTAGTTAAAAGTACAGGAGATGCACTAAGTTCAGCCTTTTAAGGGGTCAGTCTATTCATCGTTATAATGGAGGTATCACATTCCTTCCCTGTGTTATGTACAGCTCTTTTTGTACAGCATGTGAAAACAACGTAAATACTGCTGTTATTAAGGGAGTTAATTTTGCTTACAACTTTATACTGTTTCCTGTACTGAAGAAGAGCTTATAAACTTCATTCTGTAATATGCCACTTTAGGCATTTATGTATATAGCAACAGTAAATCTTGAATCAGAGAAGGAAGGAAAAATCAACATACTGCTTTTAGTTAGGTTTATTTAAATGCGAAGTTGAGATCCATTCTTGCCGTGAGAAATAAAAAGAATTTAATGAGATTGAGTCTTCTGCACATAAAACCATTATCAGGAACTTCGACATCTTCAAGTCAATAGCTAATTAATTGACAGCAGCACTGAATGAATCTACAGAACTGAAAAATGCATGCATTACTTTATCACTAGTTATTCACTAGCCACTTTGCCTAAAGCAAAAATAGATTTTTAACTTAATCTGTAATGTTCTGTGAGGATACTTCTGCCCAAGGTTTAAGTTAACTGTTACTCATCCAAATATCTTCAGAACAATTGCATACAAAAAAATCAGTGTGATATTTCAAATATAAAACAGCACTTAGACTGAAATCTTTGACTTTGACTGACTTTGAATCAAGCTGCTGCAAGTGTTAGCACAGTTTTTTCCGCTAAGAAGCGTGCGTGGTCAGTTTCCTGCACCACCACCATTAACTAAAAAGCTGTTTTTGTCTTTTCTCTTCAGCGGCTATATTTGACATTTCGTTATGGGTGAAGGTAATGGATGAAGGTAATGGATGTGCGCCTTTTCTGGAGAAGAGCAGTGAAAGAGATTGTCATTAAAGCAGACCATTGTAGATTTGCACATTTGAGGCTGGCAGAGATTGCATGCGTCCTGTCTTGTTAAAGTGACCTATATCCTTTGTTTTCCTTTGTGTATCTGATTAGTTTTTGGCTATATTGTAGAATGTTTATCATCGAAATGAACCCCTGCTTTTACAAATCAGTATGACTTATCTTGTAAGTGTTTTGAACGTTTATGCCATCATTGATCGAGAGGTAGTTTCTTGCATCCAGAAAGTTAGCACCTTGGCGCTTGATAAAAGTGAATACAGAATCAGTGTAGGATCAAGTTCTCTACCACACTAAAGGTGTATAAAGTTCTTGTGTCTGTCCATTGCTGAAAAGTGTTTTAATTTGGACATTGTGTAGAAGGTATGAAGAAGTATTTTTCCTGCCTTTTTTAACACTAGAGGAGTTCAAAATTTTGAATAAAACTTGAGTGATACTAGTCAACTCTTGTCAGGGTGATATTTAATCCAAGTGATATGGAAAAGAAAAGAAAAGAAGTGTTACCTGTCCATATAGTATGGACCTCTGTGTGGTCAGCTGACCACATTTATCTCAGGAAAATTGTTTTTTTCTCTGCAGAGCAAGGAAGGCATTGTCACATCAGTCATGTTGTTAAGTCACTTGACAGTTAAAGGTGTGTGAAAGCGTGTGGAAATGATATCAACTTACCCTTAAAGGTTACATACAAAGAAATGCCTAGGACTCCAAATGTCTGGATGAAACTTGCATATGTAAAAATGATCCTTTTAGTCAAAATAGTTTTTAATTTTTGTACTAAAAGCGTATTATATGTTTTGTACGTATTTTCTCTTAAAAGTTATTTAACATCTGATCTTTTCTTCTCAGCTTCCTGAAGTTTAATTGGAAAACATTGTTGCAAATTTCTGATTTAGTGTTTGTCAATTTTTGCCAAACTTATCTGCTGATTTAGGCTTGTTTGTTCTTGATATAGTTCACCTGTCAAGATTGCTGTATTTAATGTTTTCCACTTACTTACCCTTTGCTTACTTAATTTACTTAATTCCCTTTACTTAATTTTGCTTAATTTTCTTCTAATCTTTTGACATTGTCCCTTTTCAATATAGGCTTTTAGAAGTCAGAAATCCTATGTTTGCATTCCTGACTGGAATTTTTTCCTTAAGCAGAACAAATTGGATTAGCTTATGGGTGCTTCTAGAAAGACAATTATAAATTTTGCTCTTTCAGCCAGAGAGATTGGTTCTATATTCATCTTAATGAAGTATTTTCACTAACCTTGTAGGCTAGAAAATGTATTTATAGGCTATCTGAATCCATCCAGTTCCCTAAGGCACAGAGGCTTTTGTAAACCAAGAGCTTTGTGTACTAGTTATGGTGACTGTAGTCAGGCCTCTAGAGTGTTTTTCAAGGAAATTATGGGTGTTATCCTAAAGTAGAAATTGGGTGTTTCCATCTAGCATTTTGGACAGTAAGTTTAAATTTTCTGGTCCAAAAACTATTCGAAGCCATTTGATGCCTTCACAACTGTGTAAGTGGCACAGTATTCCTATGGAGAAAATTATTTAGGGTCAATATGACATAATTGATATTGAGAGGTGAATTAACCATAGCAGATTAGACATCCTATATGCTCTTGAACGTTATAGTCAAAGGGAAGATTTTCTAGCAGTCAAATGTTCTTTTCTGTATATGCTTAAAATATATCTGATTAAATAATTTAGGTCCTAGGAGATTAAACTGGGTGAATTTTAATTGACTTGACCTGCTAGGCCTATTCTTGATATGTATACTGTGCAACAGCACATTGGAAGCAGAGATCAAAGGGGAATCTTAAAGCAACAATTTATGAATTCAAGTAGTCCTATAATGGAAATGGGACAATTTATTGAAGTACATGCTGAAGATGAGCAGCATCCCTTGAACAATAATTTCCTTTAGTGACACCACGCTGGACCTTCAGATTTCCATTATTTAAATGTATGTTGATTACACTATTATGATGAATCAATTTGGAGTTTATGGTTTGGGCTGAACAGTCAGAAATGATCTACCTTTAAACATTGAGTCCTCAGGATATAAAGCCAGCTTCCATTTTTTGTTTGTGCTTATGCATTCAGTCAACTAGACAGTCTCTTGTCTGGTACCCGTGCTGTTCAGTCGTATTACTCAAAAAATGACCTGTACATGTAAGAGGGAGAGCGAAAGAGTGGTCACTCTGACAACAGCATGTTCAGGGTGGTGAAGAAGTTATTTCTTAGCCTATATTTTGTGTATTACATCCAGGAACCATAAAGACTAGTCTGACTTGAATGCATCTCCGGGTGAAACTTCTTTTCCAAGTCTGACTTCTCTGCTGTTTGACTTCGTGCCTCCTGTGACCTGGTCCCCCCTTTTGTTATTGCCACGTTTTCCCAAAGGGATCAGCACTGTTTTACCAAGCAGACTTCTACCCTTTTTTTCCCCTTACTGAGTATTAGTGCTTTGGTTTTCTGCTGCACTAGCATGTTGAAACCATCACTGTGCTGACTGTTCTGTTTCTTTCATTATTATCATTAGCTTTTCTATTTTGTTTGTTGCCCTACTGTCTAATCACTTCCTAAGCAAATTATTTGAGATCTTTATTTTACTTTCGGAGCCTCTGCTTTTCTCAGCTCACTGGCAGCAGTAACCATCTCTGCTTTAGATGCAGATACATATTGGAGATGACTTGTTTTGTCCTAACATTTTACTTTTTTGTCCAGTTCCTGTTTTAAAGTCATTGTTCAGATAGTTTCATTTATAAAGGGAAATTAATTAGAGAAGTGAAACA